GGGATACACGGGATGGAGCTCCGGCTGCTGGCTCCCGGCCATCTCCTGCACGTACAGCCTCCCCATGGCATTGGATGCCCCCATCATCAGCTTGAAAGGAGTCTTACATTCCGGCATCACGGAATTTGTAATTCCTTCGTGCGGTTTGTTCCTCGCCGACCGCGGAGTGGCTGCTCGAGTGGGAACTACTGGAGTCGCACCTGGTGTTACAAACACACAACCAGTCACTGTTTGGAAGTGCAGTTATCACAGGTTTCAGTGCGGAGCTACGCCGTGTGAGAACGTTCCTCAAAGCAAGGAGGCCTTTGGCTACACTTTCCACAGGAATGGAACCTCAGGCCGCTGGAAGGGCGCCTGTCACCCTGTACAGACCTTAAATTTAACACCCCATATAAACATGGACAGCTGGAAACCTTTCCCCTGCCCTTCTGCCTTCCCTAACCGTCACCTCCAGCATCCCACTCCCGGATTTCCAGCACCAGCCCTCTGGCAGGAGCAGGAAGTTGCTATGGCAGGGAAAAGGAGCCTCTGGCACCATCTATTGAGGACAGGAGGAACAAAGCCCAGCCAGGACTCAGACTCCTTTCCCAGGTCCTGTCCCAAACGCTGGCCCTGATGAGGGATTCTGGATGCTTCAGGTGTTTGTCTGCAGGATAAAAGCCTTGGGGAGATTTGCACACATTGACACACGAACCCAAGGGAAAAATTCCCACTTTGCAGCCCAAGGCCTTCCTACAAACACGAGGCCACTTCCCATCTTTATTTAAAATTTTATTTTTTTTCCCCCAATGTTTTACTTTCAGAATATCACCACGAGCAGCTCCAAAGTCTGGGGGGACTTTCTGCCAGCTGTGCTGCTCTGGGAATTTGCAATTCAGCACGGAGCCCCTGGATGTGCCAACTCCAGTTGGGAGCTGCAAATTTCATGTGCAAAGGAACTCAGAGGTGCCTTGAAATTCTCCTGCTCTCAAGAATCCCATTCCCACCTCTCCTTCGGCCTGGGCAGCCTGACATTGCTGCCTGTTTGCACAAGCAGCCACATCAGCACAGAAACAAACATCTGACCTGTGCCAAAACACAACCAAAGTCTCCATTTAAGGGGACAGAACTCAAGGCTGAACTGCAAAATAAAACCAGTGTGAGAGGCTGGAACTGAGCAAATGGTCACATGTAAGGGTGTGAAAACGAAAAGATATTTTGCTTACAAAGGCCATTTATTGGGAAATTTTCTTCTTTGCTTAGGGCACAAAATTCTGACCAGCAGAGAAGGCAAAAGCACGTGAATGTCACTCATGTCTTGAATATATTTACCTGGTTTCACCTCCTTCATTCTGCTAAGTTTTTGAAATCAAGAATTCAACTTAAGTGCTACTCATCAAAAAAAAAAATGAAGGAGGAAAAATGCGTGGCACCTCGGGAAACTGTGAGTTAGAAATGAAATGACACTGAGAAAAAACATTTTAAACAGAGGTTGAAAATCCTAAATGTCAATGTGAAAATCACTCCTATGACCAGCGTGGGAGGGATGAACTTCACATTGATCAGCCCCATCCTGCCATCTTTGATCCCTTGCTGTCTGGGTGCTATTTCTCAATGATTAACAGCTAAAAGTTGTTTTTTTTTTTT